GCAGTTTTTGTAAATATGTTTTGAGACAGAACAATCCAAAACAATTTCTTAAAAAATATTCTCCACCCTTGTAAGAGTGTATAATTTCTGAATTCTTGTAAATATTTAAAAGAATTCAAACATAAGTATAAAAATAACATACCATAGCTTGCTTTTTACGTTCTCTTACTATTTTCTTCATTTCCATGAGAACATCATTACTTATTGGTTCATCTTGGACATTTTCATCTATGTTTTTCTCCATTGCCTAGAGATAAAAAGGATACAAATTCAGGCTTTAAAAATGTGGTGCTATTTACTGGGATGGTGCTATTTGCCGGTTCGGCCAGAATAATGATCATGAACAGTAATTTGAAAGAAGAAGTAATATGCACATTGAAGATAGACGAAAGGATAAAACAAACAGAAAGTGAATACATTTACCTGTATGTGTAATAACCACAACACAATTTGGCTATGAAACATATCAAAACTTTATTATGGTTAAGCATTCTGCATTCAGATCATTTACCATGCATCAACATGTATATGTTGAGTAATTGACAAGTCTGTATGAACATCCAAACATCAAATATATGTACATGTCATATCTGCATTTTAATAGTTTTGCTTTAACTATCATGCATTAGCAAAACTTTACATGATTCATTCATTTACAACCCTCAGTCTAAATTTTACATGATTAACTATTAACATTCATTTACAACCCTCAGTCTCTTCAGCTTTCTCTTGGCTTTCATCCACATGTTCTGAAAATTTAGAGTGTGAACATCATTATCATTTGGATCAACAAAATTAGCCTGATGGACCACATAATGAGTGTATGCTGCCATGAGGTATATTCGGAATATTGCCATAATTTATTTATTTATTTATTTAGGCATTTTTATATAGCGCTTATCATAAAGCTCTAAGCGCTTTACAATTATTAAAACATGTAAACGAGGTAAATACAAATGAGACACTAGGATAGTAACTACTATTCTATAGAAACAATGAAAATGGCTATAAAACGAGGACACTTTGACACTTCAGGATCAACCCGAAACAGAAAATGAGGTAGGGCAAGGAGGGTGCATCACAGGTCATAGGCGGACCTAAACATGAGTTTTAAGGGACTTTTTGAAAATGGACGAGGTTTCACTATGACGTATATGGAAGGGGAGCTGGTTCCAGAACGTGGGCCCATGGAAGCAGAAGGAGCGTTCACCGATGGTCTTAGTTTTAGTTCTTGG